TGGATCGTATCTCCTTATGGCATGGCTACCTCCTCAGAAAAGACAGGATTTCTGGGACCATATGAACAAAAAAATATACTAATAATACACAGTATCATGTAATAGTAAGTAATACCTTGAATGTTGCAATAAATACAGAAAAAAAAATCCCCCCTCATACTTTGCTATTAAAAGTTTCTTTTTATGAAGAGGAAAGCACTAAGAAAATCACTCAGTGGAAAGACAATAATTCATTTAAATGGCAAGATGTAATTATTAGTAAGATGAAGATAAACTCTTCTGAACCTTGCACAGTGGTCCAGTCTATCTGAATGTATCAATATATTCAGTTCAGTAGCAGAACTGCAGAAACAAAGAGAAATATTCAGAGTCCTGACAATCTGAAAATCTTATAACTAACATATTGGAATGAAATATTAAAAGTTGAATTCCCATTTCAACCTGCAATATTCTTATTAAACTTTACTAAAACAATTTCAATCTTTTAAAATGATATAATATATTCATAATTAACTAATAATATACTGGAAAATTATCATCTTTATGACATTTTCATCCTTGTTTATTCATTTATATTGAATCTCTTTTTATTGCTTTTTTAATGGTTTTATATATGTTATTTAAAATAACTAATCTAAAAAAAGGAAGAAATTGACCTCTGCTCCCATCATGGCTTTGGTCAATCCAGGCTTTCATATTATACTGTGAGGGGAGCTATCAGCCCCACAAGGCAGACCAGATCAAGAAACAGACTCCGCGGAAGACTAAAAACCACTTTTCTTTAGACTGGGTCTCGTAACACAATCTTGCAAGTGTGGCTGTGCTTCCCCTCCTCCCCCTTTTATATTCATGGGGATTGGGGGGTGTCTATCTGAGACATTTTCATAATTCTCCCTCATCATCTGGACTTAAGCAACGTGTCCCTCCTTGTTGCTTTGATAATGGATCTTCCCTCTCTCCCTCCAGGTCATCCTCTTCACTCTCTACAGGAGCCAATAGTACTCCACCCTTACATACATGATGCCGAAGTACATATTAGGCAAACTGAAACGGCCTGAGGAACTGGTTGCTGTCTTTTCCATGATGTGAAGGGAGCCAATATATGGGTACAAAAAAGGACACTGTTTATGTTAGAAGGTGGTGAGCTTGGAGTCTCCTTAGAAGAGCGAGAGGCACCGGGTCAGCCCATAGTAAAGTCACCCCATGTTCTTGTTATCAGATCCCACATTCCTATAGTAAAGGTTGTGTCATAATTTATCCTGCTTTTATAAGTCCTGGCATCATTTCCAGAAGGTAAATAACCTGCAACCTTGTGGCTTTGGGGCTCTTCTGCGTTTCTTTGGCCAGGAGCCCAGGGATCACTGTGGTTGTGCCAATAAAAGACACTTGTTACATCCACGTCCAAGTGTTTTAGGCTCCTTATTTAAGTGGGCATTTTCCCCAGAACAGCCTGGTGCAGTCAGCAGGACCAGAAGGTCAAGAGTTGGGGCAGTTCACTGCATTTGGCCAGGCACGTGCCACTTCTGCAGGTTCACAATCTCTACCCTTGACCTGTTTTCCTATCCCATCCCAAACCTGTTTGGAGATACCTGACTGGACTCTGCAGGAGCGAGTCCAAGCGAGTTCTGACTCTGACCGGCAAGTTTTGGGTTCCTGCTATCAGACTCTACAGAAGTGAGTAACAGGCAGTGAAGAATTTGAGAGCTGGCCTGAATAAGTGTGAGTAGAAAGTAGAAAAGGAGATGACAGTGTGATCTTTGTTGTCTTAACCTGCTTCTTGCTAATTGTAGTGGGTTTTTTTGTCCACTGATAAATTCACGCCTGTAAACTAGAACTGGGTGTCTCTTCTTCTTGGCCACCCTCTCTTGTGGAGCTTCCCCTGGGACCTCCACAGTGTGAAATACAAGGGGGAGAATAGTTTATTCTCGTGTCCCTACAGGGCTGTGTGAGTTCTGTGTGTGGGCATAAACAAGAAGCCTTTTCCATTTGGGTACCCATCTGTACCTGTATCAGTTTCCCACAACTGACCATAGCCTGTCTCTTTGTAAGACACAGAAGGTACAGATGAGGGGTACCAGCCTCAGTTATACACACGCTACCTGCAGCATTCCCTGCTAATGTTAAGGAAAATTTTGGTGTATTGTAGCCAGCGTGCCACAAGCACAACCAGTTTTACTTCAAGCACTTCACACTGTTCTATGCATGTTTCCTAGACAGTTGCCTTCTTTACCTTGCTCTGACCCAGGATAGTTGAATGGGTTCAGCTTGTCTTAGTAATTTGTACGTAACATTATTTTAACACTATTCTTTGAAAATGAGAAAGGCATTTCCAGCCAGTGTTGTAAGAAATTTGAGGGTTAACTCACATGATTTGGTCTTGTCCAGCTATAGCCTTGTTTGGTGTTTCAGATTACTACATATGCCATTATAATTTTGGGAACAAATATTATTGTTAAGGATCTCAATGCGGAGTTGCACTACATTCCTAAAACATGGAATTTGTCATCTCATCAAGAGCTTTGGTTCTATTGAACTTGGGGTAGGACAAAGAGGATAATTTTATACAACTGAAAAGAAACTTACTCTCCTGATTTTAAGGAATGGATCCAGGACATGTGTTTGCTATTTATTTTTGAAAAATCTGTGTTCTAAAAATAAGATGATGCAATATGTTGATATATGATCTAAACTTAATTATTATGAGCTTAAGAATTACATTAACTTCATACTGTTATATCTTTTTCTTTTCTTTGTCATTTTTGGTTTATTTAATTGCTATAATATATCTAAGTTTTCTTTTTTCTATACTGGTGCTGTATTTTTTTATATTTCACTATTTAAAATGCATTTTTATTAATGTGTGTGTGTGTGTGTGTTCTGTGTATGCTAGCATCTGCCATCCAAAGACTGCCTTGCAAACCAACTTACTGTTGCCCATATCTGACCAACTAGGAGGTCTTGAAAGGATGTAATTTCCTTACAGCAAATAGCCATCAACAGGCCTATCTTCCACCTAACGCTCATTCAAAGCCAATCATGTGGTGTACATCTAGTGGTACATCTAGTAGTACCAGCAACATCTAGGACCAAACTCTGTGTGAAGTTCCTTATTCTATTTACTCACTGATTTCCATTGTACCTTTGGCTCAGGAGCTTAAGGTGGGCTTCCTATTTTTCCCCACAACCCTGTGGTGGAGGTTGGCTGGAACCTGGGTCTCCTTTCTCTTAGTCCAGCACCTTAACCACTAGTCCACACTGGTCCCCTCTTGTCTGTCTCACTGAACAGTACCTCAGGAGGAATGTAGTACCTGTAATGTTGCCTGATCTGATCGCTCGAAAATAGTCCCAGCTGGTACACTAGATCAGGGGCTTTCAAACTGTATTATAGGATTGAGAACTGAATGGGATTCCATGAGAGACTAAATGCAACATAAAAAAGAGTTCACTCCAACACAGCCAATTTTCTATCATTAGAACTTTGTCTCTTGATCAGGGGTTCCACAGTCTGAAAAAGTTTCAAAACCCCTGCACTAGATACATTTCTTCCGGCCCCCATCAAAGAGATGCAGAAACAGACCCTGAGAGTCTGGGTATTTATAGAGATCTGA